TATATAACTCATAAATAAATATAATCAATTATAATATGACGAGTGTCAACAGTTTTCTTCGCATAGTTCTTTTCGGTTGGCTACGTTTTAGATAAACCCTTATTTTGTACAATTGTTTTTCGTCGTAGGGCCCCCGGATTTAGGTTTAGTTTATAACGTTTATATATGTATATGTATATGTATTTTTAATTTTCTATTTAGTTGCACAAGCAAAGGACAAAACTAAAACAGTAAATTCAATGTCTGATGTAAATAAATTTAAATGAACTCTGTTTTTTTTTTTTTTCAATATACATACACATACATATATAAATTACATTAACTATATATTTTGTAAATTTTTGTCTATCATTTAAGTAATTTAATTTAATTTGTTACGTTTAATTTCGCGAAGAAAATTAATTCATTAAAAATCTACACACACACATACACACAAACACCCATATACCATACAGCAAATTTCGATATTACATTATATGTAACCCTAATTAATTTAAACTTGTTTGGATCTAGTCGTAAAATATAAATAAAAACAACTGTATATTTCAAGTGGAGAGAGTATTTCAAAGTTTTGCTTTCATTTCCATATATATTTGGGTGTGTTTTTTAATCAACATTTTTATATAAATATCTGTATTCATTTGTGAGGCTTTCCAATATCAAAGTTTTACATCATTCCGATTTTAATTCTTGGACAATTCTGCAATTTACTTGAGATGTATGAAATGCCAAGTGTCGACTGCAAAACAAAAGACAAAATTGAAGATTGAACAGTTTTATATAAAAGATATATACAATATATAGTTTATTTGATGTATATAAAATTCGCATAATAAATAGAACAAAACCCAGAGCCAATTACAAAAAGTCGTTATCATATTTACATACAAAATATCACATCTTGCGGTATTTTCTTTAAACGTATATTTTTGGTATATTTATGCCATTGATTAGTAAAGCGCATGCAGTATTTTTGGAGTTATGTATCCAATTTTTGTGCGGGGGGAAGGTTTGTTTTTTGGAGAGTGTTAAAGCTTAGCGCGTACATAGAAAACCTTACCTGTATCAAGTACCTCCTCCACTTCCCCTCCATCGGGAGCCTCTTGAAGAATCTTCAATGATTCCTCCTTGCCAATGACGAATTCGGAATTGCGATTGGTAATGTTTTGACTGCAAATATATATGCATTAGTAAATGTTATATAGACTAGTAGATGCAAACAAACCAGGCGATATCGGGTGCGCCCACATTGGATTGATTGATCAATGATTGCCAGAACTTGTGTGTCTCTGCAATGATCGAGGTGGCAAAGTCCGAGTTCTTTGCATCACCATTGAATGCAAATTGATTCTCTGGCTTGCCATCGGGTATTTTGTAGATCTAAACAAAGTTAAGGGCGATAACATTACTATAATACATACAAATATAAAGAGAAATATATATTTACGTTACCTTAAACCACTCAACGGTGGCGCGCAATAGACCCGGGAAATATTGATCTATATCGGATACATCGTTGAGCTTCGTTGCCAACGGATCCTTCACATCGATCGCAATGATCTTCCAATCGGTTTCGCCCTCATCGATCAGTGCAATGGCGCCGAGAACCTTAACTTGCAGCACTTCGCCGCGTTTGGCCACACGATAGCCGATTTCGATAACATCGATGGGATCATTGTCGCCCTTACAGCCAGTGGAGGGTTCAATGTGGTTGGGATTCTCCCAGGTCTGTGGCAGAGCGCCATAGTTCCAAATGTAGCCTTTGTGTGGAAAGCAATTAGCGACAAAACGCAGTTTACCCTTCTTAATGTCCTGCTTAATGGGATTCAAAGGCGTTTTCAAGCTAATCTGCAATATAAATAAAGCAACACGCGATTTATGTGTTTATCAAATTCCTGATAATGATGAATAGATGATTTTTCGATCAATTATAGTTGAGACACTTTACCTCCATCTTGGCGTTTGTCCAACGTGGCACCTCCACGACCATGTTATAGATGGTCTTGTCATCGTTGGCGTATAACGGAATATCGTGCATTGGCGAAATGACATTGCCGCAGTTGTTTTCTATGGATGAAAGAGGAGATCAGACATAAAGCGAACCATTGTGGAAAGAGGGGAACAGAGTAATTGCTAGAAATGTAATTAATAACGCGACACGCAATCGTTTGATTATTTAAAGTAAACAACAAAGAGGCAGGTGTAGCCCATTGATAAGTGATTAAATATCTTACTTGATATAAATATTATTGACTAGGCCATATATCTACTTCTAATCAAAGGAAATAAGAAAAATATCAAGTCCATAGTTCGCTGCTTGAGTCACCTTGTTCAGTGTCACAGCCGGCTGCTTGAACTTACTGATAAAGCAACGTCTGTTATGTTGCGGCAACTTGTTGCATAATTAATTTAGTTTAATCGCTTTTTGTATATTGTATTCGTTTATTTCATCTAATTACACTTTTACACAAAAGTGCATATTTTGTTTTTATTTAATTTTGCATACTTACTGAAATAAAGGGCATAGTCCGGCGAGTTTATGTTGCCTTTAGCAATTGTTTCAAACATCGGCATTTTTTCAGATTTTTTCCGTAAACTTTGGGCTTGAATAAATCTATAGCTGGAGCACAACTGTTTTGCTGACGCCGCACAAGTTGGTTGAAACAAACGCCTACCAAGTACACGTGAGAAAGCTATATATGAGCTCCTTGCAATTTCGGCAAACATTCTGCTTCGGGAGCGTTGCCAGATTAGCCATGCAAAGAAAAAATACCAAACTAAATACTTGCGACTGCAGCTAACAAATTGGTTGACTCTAAAACTCTATACAATATGTCAGAAAATTATGTTTCGAAAAATTACACCAAATACAAAATTACAACTTATTTTTACACCTGTCTCAATTATTTTGTTATAATTTAGTGTACCAACATTATTCTTTGAATTTCTTCATAATCAGACCGTATAAATACCAAACAGGAGATACTCGATTACTTGTTCGCAACCGAATCGAATAATACTAGTTCTATCGTACTCCACGCTGACAAAAATTCAGAGGAATTGTAAGTCGTCGCATTAATTTGTGGAATCATAATTTTCGGAAGAACCGACAGTAGCTTTATGCTTAAAGTCCATTGTGCATATTATTCAATACGCTTAAAAAACACCTAAGTAATATTCTCAAATACACACAGCATACAGTGTTCGAAAAAAAAAATACTTGCTGCAGGTGTTTTTTTTTTTTTTCTCCTTTCGTTCGTTTGGCAACAAGTAGAAATATCCCCTAAATCATTACCATGCAAAATCCAAGACCTAGAGGCTCCTCCTATAAGCCGCATCGTCGGCCAGCTGCTGGACAATCAGCTAATGTCAAGGCAAGCGAACCCAAAGCGGAAGCTCTTAATTGTCAACCGGGTAATGATGATAACGCGTGCGTCGTTTGCTTTAAAAATGTTGAAATCTATTCAATTGGCGACTGCGATCATCCTGTTTGCTACGAGTGCTCCACGCGTATGAGAGTCCTTTGCCAGCAAAACGAATGCCCCATCTGTCGCCATGTGCTGAACAAGGTAAGGCACCCATAGAAATGTCTACATACTGTGAAAGCATCTGCTATATAAGTCTTTTTTTTGCTTACACTACTTAGGTACTGTTTACATTGGAAAAGCTGCCTTATCGCGAACTTGAAGCTGGCAATCGCTCCGATTTCTATAGCAAAAAATATCGCATTGGTTTCTGCACTGCAGACATACAACAGAAATTCTATAAGCTGTTAGATCATCCATGCTCGCAGTAAGTTTGTTAGTTGCACTTCATTTATTAGTCGTTCATTAAAATGAAATAAAATAGGTGTAATGTGCAACCGTATCGCACATTTGAGGCTCTGCGTAATCATGTGCAACGCGAGCATCATATGTATTTCTGCGATTTGTGCGTGAAGAACTTGAAGATCTTTACATTCGAGAGGCGCTGCTACACGCAGGCTGAGCTGACGATACACAATACTAAAGGAGACCCGGATAATACATCGCATCGGGGTCATCCGCTCTGCGAGTATTGCAACAAGCGCTACGTGGATCGAGATGAGCTCTTCAGGCATTTGCGGAGAGATCATTACTTTTGTCATTTCTGCGATGCAGATGGCTGCAACGATTTCTATAAGTAAGTAACAACCCGTTGTCCATTCATATTCCTCTTATCTCTCGCTTACATTCCCTTATCTACTGCAGCGTCTATGCTGACCTGGCTGATCATTTTCGCAAGGAACATTTCCTTTGCGAGGAAGGCAAATGCGCAACGGAGGAGTTTACGGGCGCCTTCCGCAATGAGATTGAATATAAAGCTCATGTAGCGAGTGTGCATGGCAAAACGCTGAACAAACAACAGGCCAAGCAGACGCGCACATTACAACTGGAGATTACACTAGGACCACGTGGACAAGGCATATCAAATATGAGATCTCGGTGAGTTTGATCAACTATCATTCCACTTTTACTTTTAATTAAACATATATTTTTATTATAGCAATGAGGAGCATCAGGATTATTTGGATGAATTGCCCTCAAGTAGTTCACAGCGGAACCAACATCCTGTTACAATAGATGCTGGCAACGAGGATGAGTTTCCTCAGCTTGCCGGCATTACGCCGGGACCGAATGTCTCTTTGGTTAGAGCGCCGCCACCGTCGATGCGTAATTTAAGCGGCACCTCGGGTCTGGCTCGCACTAAAGAAAACTTTCCAGCTCTTGGCGGGGCAGCTGGTGGCAGTATATCGAACGTGTATAATAGCAGCTATGCTAACGCACGAGCTCAGCCTCAACCAGCTGCGACTAACTTCAAGAAGGCGTCTAATGCAGGCGCTAGCACTGCTTCTGGTGGATCTGTAACGCGTGCCAATGCACCGGCTAATGGTATGCTTTTGCATGTCTCGAATCGACCTGCGGCCAATAGCAGCAGCAAGAAATCAGCAGGTCCGGAAATGGACTTTCCCGCCCTGCCCATGGGCAAGGGCAAGAAGATGGCGCGTAATTTGGAAGAAGATATGCTGCCCGGCGCGGCCATGCCTATGAATAATGTGGCTGCCAAGCATCGTACTCTCGTTGATGACTATGTTTCCGTGGCACATCCTAGCACCTATCAGAAGATACAAATGGTACAAAAGGAAGAACTAGAGGCTAAGGCACGGCAAGAGGCGCTAAAGAAAAGTGCACCCAAACTGACGGCAGCCGAGTTTCCAACGCTTGCGCCAAGCAGCTCCAAAGCGGCAACGGCAAGCACATCTAAGCCCAATAATGGAGGCTCAGCGAGCTCTCTCAACTGGACGAAGCCAGTGTCAGAGAAGAAACAAAAGGATTTGGATAATCGCAAGAGTAAAGTAGCTCCAGCTCCTGTTTTGCCAACGCCGAGAGGTAGCAGCACGACTAGTTTGAATAACAATAAAACGAACAACACTAACAAACAAGAGCAGAAGCAACAGCCGGAGAACAACAAGAAGGAGAAGAAGCCCAAAGAGAAGAAGAATAATCAGGAGAATCAGCCTAAAGTGAACAACAAACAGAAGGAGAAAAACAACAACAATACAAATAACAATAATAATAATAATAACAATAACATCGATAAGCAGCAGCAGCAGCAGCAGCAACAGATGCCAAACTCCAATGGCAGCTTATCAGGGCCATTGCGTGCACCACCAGGACTAGCTGCACCACCCATTAAACCACCTCCTGGTTTCATGTCAAATGTAACTGTCAACTCGGTGGCCAAGCTGCCCAACAATTTGACGTTTACCAGTTCCTTGGGCGAGAACTATAGCATTGTGCCTAGTGCCAATTGCTATATTGATCCACCCGATGCACCAATCCGGAATCAGGTAAGCAGAACTTAAATTTCGATGCATATATACGTAATTAGTGATCCTTGCTTTCAGAAACTGGTGGATCAGCTGTGTGAGGTACTGAAAACACCCGAAGCCTTTAATGAATTTCGCTTGCTCTCATCCAGCTTTCGTGATGGCACCTGTACGGCTCAAGCCTACTACGAGCATTGCCAAAGCGCCATGTCGGACAAGTTCCAAAGTCTCTATCCGGAGCTTCTAGCCATGCTCCCCGATATTGGCAAACAACAGGTTTCTAAATCATTTTTATTTACTTGAAATCAAAACGCTTTAATTAATGCTAATTCGAGTGGTTGTTTGTTTGTTTTAGGAATTGTATTTGGTGCATAAACAATATGTGAACAGCTTGCCACCCAGCCAGAGTAAATTACTGCCTCAGTTCGAAGTGTGCAGAAGTTGTAAACAAATCGTTTTGCCCAACGATTTCGCCAGCCATCAAAAAGCGCATGAGTTGACAAAGAACTTTCCTAGGCTCGATAATGCTGCTTCGAATAATTTGCTAAATGCTGGAGCCAAGAATGCACAACGTAAATAAAAATAACCAGAGCCATACGGTTTCAACAGTCACGACAGCAACAGCGACAGCAAAAACAACGAAAAAATCCAATTGGAAGGAGAAAAAATGAAAAGCTTTATAGCTATGTATATTTTGTATGTATGTAATTAATATTTTGATTTTGAAGCACGCGTGCATACAAGACTAGGAAATTTTGAATCAATGCCAATGTACACACATACACTGGAAAACGTATGTGAACTAAGCTTAACTATATATATATTTAGATGTGTACTCTTTTTAATTAGATCCTGTAAAATTATATCGTTGCATGTAACGTTGAAAACGTTTCATGATTTTTGTAGAACACATCCAAATGAGCCACGGTGTGCGAGAAGTGTGTTTTTTTTTTTTTTTTAATTTTTAACAGAGTGAGCTTGTATTAAGTAAATTAAAACTGAATAAAGTGCAAAACAATCAAATTGCAGCTCTAATTGTTTTCTATCGATTTTATTGGTAATTAAGTCTTTAATGTAAAAAAAAAAAAATTCAATTAGTATAATTGTTGGTCATATCTTATCTAGTTGGGTGTCTTTAGTACTGCTTCATTGTTTACCTATCTCAAACATGTTTTAGTTAAAGCTTTGCCACGTTTTATGTTATCTTTTTGGAAACTAAAGCCCAAATGAGGCCGCCAAATATTTTAAATATTCAGTTTCGCAACCCTTTTAGTATTTATTAAAATATGGTCACATTGCATTTGCTAGTCGCATGTATGTGGCGATATTAGATAAGTTTGCGATTCAATTATCGATAAGTTTCTTTCATAAACAACGATGGAGCGGCGCGAGGATGTGCTTAGACAAGTAACACAAATTATTTAAACGTTTTGTAAAATAAATACCATGTAAATAATATTTTAGGCACTCGACAAGAATGCATATGAAACGGAGCGTTGGCTAGCCTATAAAGCCGATAATGAAGTTGCCATAGACAACTTAAATATGTTCGCTAAAAATCTTTCCGTCGAGGTTATGGTGCCAATTGGGAAAAAGGCTTTGATGCAGGGTGAATTGATACACACAAATGAAGTGCTTGTCGGTCACTACCAAGGCTACTTTTCTGCTTGCTCGGCTTATAAGGCGGTGGAGATATGTCAGCATCGCTGGAGGCTGGCCAACGAGCACCTAAAGAAACTGCAAGTGGAGGCGGACTTGTGGCAGTAAGTCGAGTAAATATTTGAGAATGATTTAATAGTCTAACGTATAAGTCGTGCAGGAAAAATCTAGAAACACCAATCCTGGAAGGCGCTGTGCCCAAATCTGATGAAATTGAAATAGTGGAGGAATACAATGAGACAGATCATAATAATTGGCTAAAAGAACACAAAGAGCGCGTGCGCAAGGAAAAGCTAGCAGAACGTGCGCAACGAGAACAATACAAGGCAGCCGATGCGCATAAAGATGTGTTCCAAAAGCTAGAGGAACGTGAACTACTAGAAGAACTGGGTCTGGATCCAGATAATTTCAGTGAGCAATCGCTCAGTGAATTGCTTCCCAAAGAAGCACCAAAAGATAAAACTGACTGTGATAAAGAAAATGTAACAACTAAGACGGATGAAGAGATATTCGACATGCTGGCCAAATTGGAAGCTCAAGAGGCCAATGAGACAGCGGATGTCGATGAAGAAATTGAGCAAAATGTTCAGAGCACAAATGAAATGGTGCGCAATCTAATGAGTGGACAAATGCAGGTGACGCCTGCAAAGCAACGCTTCAGCGGAATCAAAAATATTTCAAAAGAAGAGAAAGAAGATAAAGATGAAGAATATGTGGATCAGCCTGAGCTGCACCTAAGCGGAACCAAAACAATTTCAAAAGAAGGGGAAGAACATAATAATGAAAATGAGGATCATCCCGAGCAAGGTTTAAGCGGAATGCAAAACATTTCAAAAGAAGAGGAAGAAAATAATAATGAAGATGATGAGGATCAGCCTGAGGAAGTGAAGTTAATAAGGCAAGAAATGCAGCTATTGCCCATTGAGGAGCGACAGGAGTTTTTAAATTCACAATTACAAATAATCAAAGCGAAAATGCGTAAAATACAGAAAGCCTGCTTTGCCAGTGATGAACTGACACATTTAATGAATGTTCTTATCTGTCTGGAGGATGATTTGCAGGAACTGCTGTTCGAGCAAACAGAAACAGCGAACACAGATGAGCTGTCGGAGGAATCCGAATCCGTCTCTACGCTCGACAATAAAAAGCGACGCATCTCTTTCGCCACTGCCGACGAAGAGCTGCTTTTCAAAAAGGAAGAAACCGTTGCCGAAATGTTGACCAATGGCAAACAACGCCAACAAAGAGAAATTATTAAACTGGATGCTTCATTAGTGCCGCCAAAGCAGACAGTGGAGCTAAAGCTGGACACAGAGAAGCATTCAAATTCACAAATTATGCAAAAAGTTGAAGAGAATTTGGAGTTTGTACAGCAGAACCAAAGTGTACAGGATTTCGATTTGGTAAATCAAATACTAGAAGCATCAACGGGAAGAATTAATACCCTACACATAAGCTTTACTCATTCCGACGCGCTGCCAGCTGCTCCAACTGAAACTGATGATACTGAAACGCCTGGCACGCCAGCCCAGTTGTATGAGCTCTACAAAAAAGCACAGGAGAAGTACTCCTTTCCGATTTTTGTGAACGGCTTTGAGGGTGAGGAGGAGCTTAAGGTGCCCATCATCAAGGAGGAGGACCGAGCAAGTGCCTATGCTGACCCACGCAAGCAGGTGAGTAGAAGAAGACAAAAATAATAATAAACTTCCACTTAAGCGCTGTCAATTTGTAGTTCAACAATCCATCGGCCGAGTCCAGCATTAGCACAGATGCCACATCAGGACACATGGAAACGAAATCTATATTGCGCAACAAATCAGCTGTGGAGCGCGAAGACCATGCTGTAACCGACAAGCCCATGCAGAACAACAACAGCAACAAATCCAAAAAGAATAAGTCTCGCAAGGCCAAGAAGGAGAGAACCATCGATGATGATCTGCGAGACATGAGTGCCTATCAGAAGGTCATGCATGATTTGATTGAGAAGGAGCCAACGCTGGCACCGGAGCCATTGCCCAAGGGCAAATTTATAGATGCACATACGCCCAAAAAGCGCATTAGCCGCTTTAAAGAGCAACGCTCCATGAATAAAACATAGTTTTATAAATGTGGGTGAGATATGTACATTTATTTATTTTGCGTGAATAAACAATACGATATTATGAATTTATGTACAATCAAACATTTGTTTATGCTCTTTTACACAAACATACATACACACATATACGCATGCACGCACACACATTCGATTTGTTTTTAAATTAAACTCTATTTACTAAATCCGGTTCAACGGAATTTATTTTTAAAACATTTACACTTGTTTCTTTGTAATTACAATGATATTATTTTGATTTTACATTTGAAATCAGTTGTTCATAATATTATTATTTATTATTATATGTATTACATATATAGACATATATAAGTGCGTGCGAATAATAATTAAACGTGTGTGTATTTAAACGTAGATACATATTAACTACTAATACATACAGTGTGCATATCTGTTTCTTATTTAGAATCTCCTTAAAATTTCTCTCTCTCTAAGTATTTTAATTAACTGATTATTGCTTTGTTGGATGGTTTCTAAAAAACCAAAGCCAAGATTAATTTAATTACGTTAATGCATGTTTCGTGTTTTTTTTTCAGATTTTGTTTTTTTGTTTTGTTTGTTTTTTTTTTTTTTTTTCGAAGAGTAGGTACATGTACAAATGTCAAAAGTGCATTGAACATTATTATCGCCAGCTACTTCCAAGTCTTCCAAATGCTATTCGCTGTGCTCGACTTTTGGTTTTGAGTGCACCGCAATTGGTTTTCTGCTCGATGTCCAGTTCGGATTGATATGGCTAATCTTCTAGTCCAAGAAATTCACGCTCCAATGCGGCGCCCATCATATTCCATTCGCCATCATCACCGTCATCTTCCTGGTTGTTTTCGCTGTTGGAATCCGAGCCCATTTCCAAATCCGATGGCAATTCCTCGCCTGCAATTCAAATGTTTAATATATAATTTATGGTATATCTGATAGGCATACCACGTCGAAATTTAGCACTTGGCACTTCATCATCGTCTTCTTCTTCCTCCTTTTCCTCATCCTCAGGCTCGTCCTCGTCATTGGAGGAATTCTTATCGAATTCGACTACTCCGGTGGCCGTACCCAACATCACATCCTCGGAGCGAGTAAAGAAATCATGAGCACGATTTGAAGTTTCATCCTCGCGCTTACGCTTCAACAACTTTTTGTCCATGGGCGGATTTTCTATAAAATTTAAAATAGTTAATAAATGAAAATGAAGGCATTTACTTAGTTCCCAGCTACTTACCAAAGTTGACAGGGCCCTCGTCGCTGGAGGAATCCGACTCGAAGAATGTCTCGTAGTCCTTGTTCATGGACTCGATGTCCGCATTGGTGAACACCAGCAGCGGATTAAGTGTTTCACGGAAATTTCCACCTTGCTCTTGCTGCATGCTGCTCGACGGCGATATCTCCGATCTCTCATTATAGTTCACTACATGCTCGGGACTGTGGCAATGAGCAGGCGGTTGTCGGCCCTTATTGCGCACCTTGCGATCGAGCGGAAAGAGGCGCTCATCAACATGCTCCCAGCGTTCGGCACAGGCCCACAACCAATTGGCATTAACTACCTTAATGTTCGGCTCCTTCTTGGCCGCATTCACTTTATAGGTGCCGGCATTGACGGCCACCAGATGTGTTACATCCTTGCTGATGTTTGACTGGACCTCGGCTCCCAAGCTTTTAGCTATAAAATAGGCACGCGATTGCTCCAACTTCATCTGGGTCGGCACCAATCCGGAAAAGACTAGAACTTGACCGCGCAGCACTTCACAACGTATTTTCGGCACAATGATCTTCAGATCGGGTATCTCAGTGGTCTCATCATATATGGCATAGAAACGCTTGTGTATGTTCCTCAATATGACCTCCAGATACAGTAAATAGTCATCGGGATCCTCAATTTCAATTTGTTTCTGTCCATCAGTTGTAATTTTCATCTGCGAAGTTGTGGCCACATTATCGGTGGTAGCTTTAGCTGCCTCTTCGTCAGCTTCCGCCACTTGTTTCTCATCGCCGCTAGTTGACGACGCGATGCTCTCGTCATCCTCCCTCTTGGGCGGCAGTTTTTCAGCTTTTGAGCTGTCCATGGGTACTTCATCAATGACATTAATCTCATCGCTATCGCTGCCTTTGTTGCCGCTGCTCTGAGCTTCAGTTTCTGGCAAACCGGATGAGTTCTCATCTACATTCAGAGTCTCTTCGGCTGTTGTGGTTGCCTTGCCATTCAATTTTTCACAGCTATTATTCACAGCGGGCTCTTTAGTATCCATCGCATCTTTTGTGTCGCTGCCTAGATCAAATATGTCCACAGAGGAGTCCTCCTCGTTGCCCTCTTCATCCTTGCTTGTGCTGGAGACGGTGTTGTCGTCCTTATCCTTCGTATCTTCAGTTTTTGGCTCCTGCTCTTTGTCCGATGGCTTATTTGAGACTTCTGCTTTCTTTTCGGCAATTTTATCAATTTCTGCAAATATCTTGAAATTGTAAATATAGTTTATGTTTATTGGGGATGGTGCGTACCCTTGAAGTCGACGCCTTCGCCATCTAACTCGTGCTTGGATAGCCCAGGCGGCGCATTTATATCTCCGGTATGTTGAAAGAAATGATAGGGTTTCACTTGTATCAAATTGGATGCCATATTCCAAACATCCTCACGATCATCTATAATGCAGACCATGGAATCGCCATTGGGAAACAGCGCTCTATATATAAAAGAGAAGAATAATGGGTGGGGAAAAATAAGACAACTAGAGTGCAGCTGCTTTACTTGAGATTATCCGTTTTGCTTGTGGCATTGAAGCACTCATCGCGCGACAAAATACGATGGGAGAAGAACTTTCCATCAGGATCAAGCAGCTGAGCAATCATATGTGCATAATTACGAGCACCAAAGGTGCAAATGTGCAGCTCATAAAGCTTTGACATTTTCTCCAGGAACTCCGCTGTGCCCGGCCTCAGGCGAGTGTGATACCACGGCGACTGTGGGCCGTACAATTGAAAGTGATAGATGCCCTTTATATTATCTGGCACTGTGTCATTGGTTGTGTGTATCACTGTCTGATCGAGATCCACCAGCAGCACCAGCTTGCGATCGGTGAGCAAGCGTCGTGTGTCATCATGCCCAAGCTTTTGAGCTAGTTTCTGGGTTACTTTCAAATCGGGCATTGTGTGCACCATTGGAACGGAGGCCTCAGATGTTTGGCCCTATTTTAATTATACAGATTTACCAATAAGAATTATTATTATGTTCTCTTCATTAAAACTTTTTGTAAATCTATATATTTGTATTATTTCGTATAACGCTTACATTGTCGTTCTGCCTTAAGTCTGCGCCGCAGTCTGCGCACATATCCTTAATAACGGTTGTGTGTATGCATTCGGATAACTCCAACAGCGCATCTCTGAAAACATAGCAAACAAATACATCAGCTTAAATTTTATGTATACGCGCATGTGTGTTGCCATTGCGGTGTATGTTGCAATCAGTGCATTCCACCCACTGCCGCCCGGTCCATGTTTGCAAGAAGAAGATATGGCTAGGAGGAGGGGGAAAAAAACTCACCCTTTTATCACTATTTCGCCTTCCTTGCGAAGCCGCTTTTTGACCACTCCGGCACGATTTGATTTGTATTTCAAAAACGTCGAATCGCCCTTTTTAATGGGCTTGCCATCCTCACCTAGCTGCTGATATAAAAACAAAATTTGTGCCGCCGAAACATTTTGCCCTTCGCGTACGCGCCATTTATTGATTCGTATGCGTGTCTCAGTCGGAGCAAGCGCTGCGTTTACAATGATACGATTTACACTTCCGCCACTGCTAGCGCTGCCACCGCCACCGTCATCCACGTCCCTAGTAGGCTTTGACGCAATCGGGACAACATGCGTCTTAACCTCTACGCTTGTCTTTTGCATACTTTATTTACAAATTGTGTATATATACAGATTTTAGTTTTGTTTAAATCTGTGGCTTGTTATGTTTTCAATTTGTGTGAATTGCGACAGCGCGAATTGACATTCTCAATAAAGGTGGACAGCTGTTTTTTGTATACTCGCAGTTTCGATATATCGCAAAGGTTCGATAACTGATAAATGTTGCGACTCACAGTTTGCACGTTTCGTTTGTTTGGGTTTGCTTATACGTACGCAATTAAAAGAAAATGAGCGCGGATAATGAAAAAGAAAACCTGAAACGTAGCGCAACTGAAGATACAGCAGAAGCAGAAAAATCGGTAGAATCAGAGGAAACAGCTAAGCAGGAAACAGAAGCAGAAGGCGAAGATGATGCGTGGATTGGACCGATGCCATCCGAACAAAGCACTGCGGTGCCGGCCAAAAAAAAGAAAGGTAAACAAGTTAAAATTAAATGCTGTCTTAAATTAATTTTACGCTCTTATTTGATAGTATTGCCCTATGAACATATTTATTTGGAGAATTTGCCGAATGCAGAGAGCTATGAGCGAAGTTACATGCACCGAGACGTGATCACACATTTGGTGAGCACGAAAACTGAATTCGTGATTACCGCCAGCTTGGATGGACACATAAAGTTTTGGAAAAAAATGGACTTGGGCATTGATTTTGTGAAACATTTTCGAAGTCATTTGGTGCCAATTAAATCGCTAACTGCCAACAGCAGCGGCACTTTACTTTGTTCTGCAGCCACCGATCAAACAGCAAAAGTTTTCGATGTAGTTAACTTTGATATGATCAATATAATTCGATTGGGCTATACGCCGCTGTGCAGCGAGTGGATTAACTCGCCGGGTGATGCGGTGCAAGGACTGGCCATGTACGTAAATTAGCTAGATAAATAAAATATATTTAACATCCGCATATATTCTATTTAGCTCCGATTCGGAGAGCAACAGCATCCATATTTATGATGGTCAGAGTGGAGGTGAAGTCTTGTACACCTTGGACAAATTGCACTTAGCTCCAGTAGTTGCCATGTGCTTTAATTTGGCAATGGAAACGGTAATCTCTGTGGATCGTAATGGCATATTGGAGTATTGGCAGAATTCTCGGCATGATTACAAATTTCCTCAGCGTTTGGTTACCTTTGACTCAAAGCTGGATACAAGTAAGAATCAAATATATATTAGCTATTTGAAAGCTAGCATTTAATATAATTTACCCCATTTTGAAGGTCTCTTTGAATTTGCCAAGAATAAGACCCAAGTAACCGGCTTGGCCGCTACGCCGGATGGTAAACGTTTTGCTGCTATTTCTACGGATCGCAAAGTGCGTGTCTTTCAATTTAATACGGGAAAACTCTTACGAGTCTTCGATGAGGCCTTAACCACATACACACAAATGCAACAGACGCCACATGCATTGCCCAATATGGAATTTGGCCGAAGGTAAGTCTCCTCTTTCCATATAATGCAATTGTAAAATAAACTCTTGCCTCTTGCAGAATGGCTGCTGAACGTGACTTGGAGAAGACGGCACAAAATACCACTATGAATATACTCTTTGACAGCACCGGACATTTTTTGCTTTATCCCACAATGTTGGGCATTAAAGTCATAAATGTTGCCACTAATCGTTGCGTCACAATTTTGGGTAAAACGGACAATATACGGCCGTTGCAAGTGGCACTCTTTCAAGGTCGAATAAAGCGACAAAAGGCGGCCATAACCCTCGAGCAGGAGGCTAGCGAAAATCCAGCGTTACAAAATTTACTTAATGATCCAACGGCCTTTTGTACAGCATACAAGTATGATTATTTATACTTATAGAAAAAACTAAAAATTAATTTAAAATACTCCTATTTGTAGAAAGAATCGCTTCTATTTGTATAGCAGACGTTTACCTTCTGATTTACAAGATGTTGATCGTGACATATTCAACGAGAAGCCTTCCAAGGAGGACATCATTGCCGTGCCTGAAGCTCAAGGTAAGTGCTTAGCTTTAATTAATTTTAATTTAATTACTAACAAACTATGTACTGTCCCTTACACGCTAACATTCTTTAGACGAAGGTGTTTATACTTATACATACATATACACGATTACTTTACATTATAAATTTTGTAAATGGTTTTTTAGTTATACAACGTATCTATGAGAATGTAGTTTTGCATACCACTAAAGGCGATATACATATGAAATTGTTCTACAAGGAGGTGCCAAAAACGGTGGAAAATTTTTGCGTACATGCGAAAAATGGGCAAGTTTTAAAATTCTTTTAACTTAACTAAACAAGCCAAAGCTTTCATTACTTTCCTTCTTTCCTAATATAGCTACTACAATGGACATATATTTCATCGAGTGATCAAAGGTTTCATGGTTCAGACTGGAGATCCTACGGGTACGGGCACGGGTGGAAAATCCATTTGGGGACACGATTTCAAGGATGAATTCGTACCGAGCTTAAAGCACGATCGTCCCTACACTGTTAGTATGGCAAATGCGGGCCCCAATACGAATGGCAGTCAATTCTTCATAACCGTCCTACCTACAGTAAGATATTATCTTATATTTCAATTATAAATTATAATAGTTAATATGTTTCCTTCATTTTTTAAGCCTTGGCTGGACAATAAGCATACCGTTTTTGGTCGTGTGTATCGTGGCATGGAAGTAGTGCTCAATATATGCAATGCTAAGGCAAATCCCAAAACTGACAAACCATACGATGACATTAAAATAATTTCAATACATTTAAGTAATTAAGCACAAAGAAATAATAATAATAATTGTAGCAGAAATAAAACATTTGATTGATTTTATATTTTGAATTACGCGCGCTCAGCTGCGCCACCTTTTGGCAAATACTAGAATTGTTAGTCACTTAGGTGCCAGTTTGAGTATAGTTGGTATTTCCGCATTTCTTTCAGCACGGCCACACTGAACAGCTGTTTATGTAGTTTCACCCGTAGTCTCTCATTCACTGCCAGAGAAGAACCTAAACAAATTGTAAATTAAAAGTTACACGGTGCTTACCTTTTGGTAATTTATAATTTGATATTGCATTATCAAGTGGGCGTGCGTACACATAGTGGGCTTAAGGTAAATATGTGCTGAGGTGCTGATAGCTATGTGGTTGATAGCTATGTTTAAGTACGTATGATACGGGTGGAAGTGAAAAAACTTTTGTGTGAAAATAAAGCAAGAAAAACAAAGAAAACGAAAAAGACTAGTAGAGCTTATCAAAAATCTATATGCATCAGTACGCTCTACATTTAATGCTTAATTTGTGTCAATTGGTGCAGAAAACATATACATGCATATAAATGAGCATGTTTGTAATTTGTTTATGTGTGTATGCTTGTGTGTGTGTGCGTGTTTTGCTTATCAGCATAAACATTGTGTTTAACGGAACCACACGTCAAGGAAACTCTTCATAGCGAATTCGGTTATTAGTCATAACGAATGTCGAATACACATTTATAAATATTAACTATAGGGTAAAAGTCTTATCAATCCAGGCAACTGCTTATAATTTGCTGATAATATAAGTTGATATAAACAACAATTGATAATTATGTTGAATTGCAGTCGATACGCAGTTGTCCAAAAATGAGCTAAGACTTAATAAAGAGCCCAGTCATGTCCCAAAATGATTCTGATGATGTTCGCAGCACCGCTCAGCTGCTGCTCACAAATGCGAGACACAGCGGTGTTCCCTACCATATTCCATATGATATGTGTGAGTATGCCAATCAGATTGCGGTTATCAATGCACCCCATAAAATTGATTAATTTCAAATGATTATTAAATTTTCAGCTCGGGCGCACGCCATTAATTTGTTTACGGATGAGTTCCTAGGCGGCTATTCCCAGGATGGACGAATGTCGGTGGTGCGAAGATTCTTTTGCCTCTTTGTTACATTCGATTTGTTGTTTGTATCGCTACTTTGGCTCATTTGCATAGTTGTAAGTTGTACCCTTTGTTTTCTCTACTGAAGATATATGCTAATTGCTTTCATTTTCCATTGCAGATTGGTGGCGATAATATATTCCAGGCCTTTCAGAAACAAGTTATGCACTATACCATATATACATCACTCTTTGATGTTGTTGCCACAGCGCTTTGTCGTTTCATCGTCCTAATTTTCTTCTATGCATTGTTGTATATAAATCATTGGTCGATCATTGCAGTAAGTGCCATTTGTCATCTAATCATTGTTCGATATATGTATAAATGCTAAACAATTTCTTGCAGCTTTCTACCAGTGCCTCATGTCTGTTTCTCATCACCAAAGTGTTTTTCTATGATGTAAGTTTAATTATTAGAAATACACAAAATACGGTTATATAATTTAGTCCTAATTTCTGCAGTGGGTGCACTCCAAGCAACAAGTCTTCGATGTCATACTCATTATAACCTCCTTCATTCTGGCCTGGGGCGAGGCTTGGTTTCTGGATTGCCGTGTTATACCACAGGAACGTCATGCCCGCCGTTATTTTGCTGGTAGCTTGTGTGCTTTTCGTTCTTTTATTTATATGTATATACATTTAAATATATTCTTCTTTGCAGCCGCGAGCTCAACCGATCGCGCAGCATTGACGCAGCCAACGATTTTGGCTGAACGTGAGCGCCCAGATCAGAGTGTTACTGATTTTTATTCACCCTTGGATACGGCTCACCATTCGGACGAGGAGGATGAACAGGTCAGCTAAGTATTTATGCATGCGCATAGCTAAAGACATTGAATTAAACAATTGATCGGCATCATATAAAAGAAGCTGCAAGCAGCGATCTTTAAGACATTTAAGTTCTTCCAAAATGTTGTTGGTAGTGTGATTTGAGATTTGGAATATAACTGTTTGTATATCTTTTGTTTGCCCTGCAGGACGAGGAGTACAATCAAATGGGCTTAGATTGCCTCCTCAAGGCATATGAGCTTATCGAGTCCGCAGATTGGAAGATGGAAAAAGTTACTCCCAAGGGCGATACAATCTACAGCACGCAGCGCGAAAAAATTGGCAAGATTTATAAATTAACGGTGTGTATTTTTTGTAGATATTCATTTATAGATTCCTAATATATATCTATTTGTATTTCAGGCACGCCTGAAGTATCCAGCAAAAGCGCTTATGGAGGAGCTCTTCTATCGCATTGAGGATGTGACCAAGTGGAATCCAACTTTATTAGAGTCCAGAATTGTGCGAGTAAGTACCAAAAGCTCTACTTTAATCCGTCAGCTTATTTAAATAATGTTAATATATTAAACAAAAAATAAATAAATTATTATCTAATTATTAATTATTAGAAAATCAATTCGTATACCGACATTTCGTATCAAGTTTCTGTTGGCGGCGGCGGCGGCATGGTCAAGAGTCGCGATTTTGTTAACTTGCGTTCGTGTCGTTTAATTTACAATGGTAAAATCTGCAATGATGATGAGGCGGCTAAGCTAAGCAGTGAGGATGAAGACGATAATTCTTTGAACCGTTCTTGTGAGGGCAGCGTAACCACAATATCGGACAATGAATCACATACACCACAATTTGGGAGTGTTGCCAATAGTTATCGCAGCAAATTTTTTGGCCAGAGCTCGTTGCCGCCAGCAGAGGTGGTAACAACCAATACGACACCTACAGCACCCACCACATCGGCAACACCCTACGACACATTGAGTAAAAGTCTGGGTGCCAAAAGTTTGGGTGCTGCTTTGGTTTTTCCCGTGGAGCCACCGCCATTGGATGATGAATTTGAGGATGCCAAAGATCAGCCAGACAATACGCCGTCCGTTGTGAAGAAACCAGACAGTTCGGTCGGCAAGACCAACAACAAGGTGTGGATGAGCGCGGCAATAAGCGTGGAATATCCAGCAATAGCTGCGACTACCAAGTACATAAGGTAAGCAACGAGACCCTAAAAGCAAGTTCCATTTACTAATGTTCAAATTCATATCAAACAGAGGCGAGAACATTGTGTCGGGCTTTGCATTTCGAGAAATCATTGGCAAAAAGGATGGCTGCATTTTGGAATGGGTGCTCTGCCTGGATCTCAAGGGCTACATACCACGCTATGTGCTAGATGCAGTAAGTATAGAGTATATAGAGTATACATTTCTATAGAAACATTGTACTTGTAATTGCTTTCTTAATAGGCGCTTACCTCAACCATGGTGGACTATATGAAATACCTGCGCAAGCACGTAAACGAGCTGCGACAGCGTCGACGTCGCTGATTGTATATAGTTTAAGACGATAAAGTGATATGTCGTATATATAATGCTCTTGCAGCATATACTAATTGTATTCTACGTAAAAACTAATTCTATTCTAATTGTATCTCAAGCTGTAGTTAAGCCATCGAAAAGTAAAAACAAACAAAGTGAAGTGCATTCATTGATGATAAGTTTATTGAGTATGTATGTATGCTATATTTATATATGTGGTAGATATTGTAAGTTATGTGTATGGACGACTTAACTAATACATTTTATACAATGCTCTTTTACTTGTAATTGATTTCATACTTGTCTTGCTCATGAGTATATTTAGTCGCTACCTGTGATTCGACAGCTGCAGTATAATTTAGTTTTAGTGTGCTTTAAGATCAGTCTCAGGGCTTGCTCCTATTTGCTATCGTTCTGTGGAAACCAGCTTTGACACGCCTCCATGGCCACCTCACAAACGGCGCTCATTGCCTTGGCATTGTCATAATCTAAGGAATATCACATGGATATGGCAATTGAGATATGATATGTATGGTATGCAGACTCACCCAAAGCATTGCGCTTGCCAAAGATGCTGCCATTGAATGGCGGCTTCCTGTAGGCTGCCTCGCTGCTGTGCAACAGAATCGCTGCCACAATGATGGTGACCAGTAGCAAAGTGAGAGTACATCTAAGAGCTGCCATTGTATAATCTGTTTGTGGCGTGACTGATACTGCTGATGCTGATGCTGTTGCTGCTGCTTGCTCTCGTTGACTGCTGAAGTCGAAGTGTGATTTGTGTCGGCCAGGATAAGCGCTTTTATACGCTGCTCCGCTTGCAACCCCAGTTGCAGTCGGTCTATCAGCGCCTGGCTGACTAATTGAGTTATTCGCGCGTTAATTGAAAGCAAAATGACTTGAGGGAATTTGAGGTTTCTTACTTTCTGTCTATATACTATATATATATTATTCTATATTAACTTAAGTACAAGCAATTCAAATATGCAACAATTTGTGAAGTAAATCAAATCAATCTCTCTCTCTCTCTCTCTCTCTCTCTCTCTCGCTCGTTTTACTCCCTCTACATTCAAAATATACACTTCAATTATGTAGACTATTAATATTTATTAATGTAGTACAAGCAATTCCAATATGCGCCTATTCCGAAATTATATAAAATTGATTTGAGCAGCAATCTCTCTCTATTCTCCTTCTATCATTCTTCACACACACTAAAATACCGTCTTGGTGCTCGTGTTCCACTCGAGCACCTTGTTGAACTCCTTCTCGCCAAAGCCGATGGCCACCGCCTGCTCCACACAGCTATTCTGACGCTTCAGATTGTCGATCATGAAGAGCTGTTTCTTATAGGCATTGAGCAAGTCCGCACGCTGGCGTTTTAGAGCCTTAATGCGGTTGTCTCTCATCTTCAGCTCCTTGCGACTGTAGTCGAGATCCTCGCGCTGCTGTGTCGCTTGCTGGCTGAGCATTTGCCTTGTGGCTTCTGCCTCATCGTTGGCGCGCATTAGACGATTCTCCAGATTGGCATTGGTTTGCTTCAGCAACTTCGCATCACGGCGCAGTAGCTCCAGCTCGTGCTGCTGATTGTTGTATTCAGATTGGCGATCCTTTTGCCGCCGGTTCGCATCCTCCGATTGCAGCTCCAAGCGATGCAGCTGCTCCGACAATTTGGCATTGGTGCTGATGGCCTGATCCCTTTGCGCTTCAGCCTTGCGCAATGCTTCAAGCGTTTGCTCCAGCTGCATTTTCTGATCGGCCATGTCCTGCGTTAGCTGACCATGATCCTCCTCCAAAATGGCGACTTTGGCTTTAAGAAATCTAAATGAAGACATATATATATATATATTAATCTTTTCGGATAATCTGTGCATGCTGCTCCTTGCTTACTTGATGAAGTTGTCTTGGGTTAGCTGCTTTTTGGATTGTCCGCTGATGATAGTTGTGCTCTCTCGTGACTGCTGCACCAGCTCCAGCTCCACCAGCGGCTGCTGTTCCTCTTGCTGTTGCTGCTGTTGCTGCTGCTGCTGCTGCTGCGGCTGCGGCTGTTGCGGCTGCTGCAGCTGTTGCGACTGTTGTGACTGTTGCTGCTCGAATCCATCCGCATTGCGCAGCAGCAGATCCAATGATGGACTCGCCTTAAAGTTGGGATTGCGATACTTCACAAATGTGGCCGTCTTGTGTGTGGCTCGGCGCGTGAACGTGCTGTCGATGCGGCCAGCAGCAGCAGCAGCAGTGGACAAATTTGTTGYTGCTGCTGTTGAAGCAGCAGGCGCTGTGGCATGCCTACCGTGCGCTCTGCCACCTCGCCAATCGCCAATCCTAGCCTTGTTCAATTGTGATACTAAATTCGTTGTCTGTTTGCCTCTGGGCGTTGCCGCCTGCGTCGATGGAGGTGTTGGCGTTGTCGGTGCACTCTTGTTGGGCGATTTGCTGACTTTCGATCTGTGGCCACGTCCCACTGTATGCCGATTGCTGATCGCCCCATCCAGATTCACATTTGCGTGCAGTTTCTTCTTCAGCAATGTGCTGGGGCCCTTCTGCTTCAGATAGGTGCAATAGCGGGACTGGGAAGCCACCTGGCTGCCATTGTCGATGGGATGATTCAATGACATCAGATTTAGCTCCTGATTGATATGAAAGAGTTCCTTTTCACGCGACAATATCTCGGCCATAGTGCCGATTTATATTATATATCTATTGTCTTCTTCTTCTTTTTTTTGTGACTTTTATGATAAGTTGGCTCCAACCTTTAAGCTTGAACAGCTGCTGATCTGATGAAACGTTTTTTCAACAAGAAATTTTTACTAATAATTATACTATTGGCACGCTGACTCCGTTCGGAGCTTGCCTTGTTTTCTGATGAGCCAAAACTCAAATACTGCTTTGATTTTTTTGACACTAAGTTCATAAATAACAAACATAAAAAAAATGCTGATAAACACTTGTGTCGAGTGTGTAACCAGGTAACCCGGCTACCTGTACAGGTGAATATACATATATGTATAAGTATTGGTGGTTGTTTTTGTTATATTTCCCCAAAATATTACGACTGTTGCTATTGTTATTGCCCCATCTCTCACTCTCTGACCTCTCACTCCCTCTCTCCCTTCCTCTCTCTCTCTCTCTCTCTCTCCTACTCTTTCGTAGCTGTCTTAAGGCCAACGACTTGTGAATTTATTTACCTGTCAGCTTGGCTTTATGAACTTGACTGAATCCGCGTGGGTGTTCTCGTTTCCATTTGTTGCCAAAAAAAAGTAAATAAATAAAAAATCAAAATATATTTAACTCTGTTGCGTAGGTTTCTTGCATATGCTATGCAAATTCGCTGCTCTTTAGAATTTTGTGATGTAATTGTAAGTGGTTTTGTCGCCAAGGCAGCTCATCAAGCCATCACCCACTTGATTGTCGCTGATTCAGCCTATTAAACTCTTCAATATACGCACAACATATGTATACCCATTGAAATTTGACGCAAATGGGGTATAATGTGTGCTCAGAGATGTGAGATAACTGCTTTGTATATACCTATGTTTATTAAGCACTCAACTCATACTCCACTCTATAGTTGAGAGCTGATATACTCTTTAAATTAGTATGTGTGAAAAGAGCTAGGAATTTATTGAATTTATATATATGTATATGTGTATACCTCATCAGGATGAGCAGATGAATATATGCATATATAGAGTTAAGTCTGCCTGATTGCCTGCCTCTCCTGAGAGAAGCTAATTTATTCTTCCTACACTCGTTTATTGAGTGAACATCCTCGCTCAATTAAGAGCTCTGCTCTGATTGCATTTTGAGTGACTTTTCTGTATATAAAGGGCTGCCAGCTGTGTGGGCGTTCAGTCAAGTTCGTGACCTGGACTGGGTCAGTCGCAGTGTGTGGTGAATATATTTAAGTTTTTTATTGTTAAATTTGTACTTTTAATTGTTTATGTTTAATTATTATTATTGATATTATTATTGCCGGCTTCAGTTTTCATTAT